CAGTACCACATGCTGTGGGAAGACCTGAGAATCTGTCCATTTAATAATAATCCCTTCTAAAATGTTGTTGATGATCAAGGTGACAATTCACTGACCTATACTTTCTGGAATTCACTTTTTTTGAAAGCTAGGAAAATGTTTGCCCTTTTCCACACCTCTTCATCTTTCCCATTTGACACAATTTCTCCAAGATTGCTGAAGGCACATGGAAATCACATTTTCAGGGACTTCCTATAGCCTCAGGGGGAGACTCTTGGGGATAAGAAACACAAACTGATTTGCATAGTATTATAATAACACTAGCTTCCATTTCTACAGCATTTTAGGATTTGCCAATTGCTTTCTTTGAGTGTTCCATGAGGTAGGTAGGGCCAAGGACTTCTAGCCCCATTTTTCAGATAAATAAACTGAGGTTCTGACAGTAGATATTTTTGTTGTCAAGTCCTTTCAGTCATGTCCAACATCTTCGTGACCTCTTTCAGAGTTTTCTTTGCAGAGACACAGGAGTGGATTGTTGTTTCCTTCTCCAGCTCATTTTACAGATGAGGAAACTGAGGCAAACAGGGTTAGGTGGCTTGCCCAGGGTCACACAGCTAGTAAGTGTCCGATGCCAGATTAGAACTCAGATCTTCCTGACTTTGGTCCCCGTGCTCTATCCACTGAGTAGATGATACTGGGGCAAATCCAGGGGAGCATGATCACGATGGTGGGGAGCCTGGAAACCACATTTTATGAGGATCGCTTGAAGGAATGGGGCATATTTACCCTGGAGAATAGAGGTGACCAGGGGAGGTAGGACACGATCATCGTCTTCAAGTGGTGTGGCATCCGGGAAAGGCAGCAGGATTTGAAGTCATGGGACCTTAATTCGAATCCTGGCTCTTTTACCTGGTAACTCAATGACCTTGGGCGAGTGACCCCTCTGGGCCTCAGTCTCCTTGTCTGTAAAGTCCTTCCCAACTCTACTCATGTTGCAGTCTTCTCTGCGATCATACTTGGTCTTGGCTCCAGAAGACAACAGCAATGCCTGAAAAGTAGCAGGGAGGCAGATTTCAACTCCATACGAGGAAGACTTGTCCGGTGATCTGATGATTAGGGGCTGCTTCCCAGAGGCAGTGAGCTCCCCATCAATCTGCATGGCCAGATGTTGGGAAGTGTACAGCATTATTGCATCTTAGGCGGAGACCCCACTAAATGTCCTCCAAGGCGCCTTCCAGCCATGAGGATCCTCTAACTTGCCCAGTCACCCAGGTATAAAAAAAATTGCAGAGCCAGAATTGGAACCCAGGTCTCTGGGCTACCAATTTCATGTTTGCGGTACAGTAGAAAGAGTGCTGGACCTGGAGTCAGGAAGACTCCTCTTCATGAGTTTATATGTAGCCTCAGACACTTACTAACTGTGACCCTGGGCAAGTCACTTAACCCTGTCTGCTTCAGTTCCCTCATCTGTAAAATGGGGATAACATAGCACCCACCTCCCACTGTTGTTGGGAGGACCAAATGAGATAATAATTATAAAAGCACTTAGGACAGCATCTGGCACATAGTAAGCACAATAGAAATGCTAGTTATTATTACTCATACTATCTTTCACTTTTCTTGGACTTTTATTCCCTCTATACTGGTAAAGCTAAGAGGTCCCTTCTCAGAATAACATTTTAAAATACATAAAATAAAATGCATAGGTTTATGAAGAAAATCAATTATATTGAAAGGCAGACAGACAGACAGACAGACACACACACACACACACACACACACACACACACACACAAATTCATGGACCACCTGAAACACATCCACAGACCTCCAAAGTGTCTTTGGAAACCAGGTGAAGCACCTTTGCTCTAAACTGTGTTCATAGTGTGGAGTCTGAATGCAGATGGAAGCATACTATTTGCTCTCCTTTTCTTTTGTTGTTCTGTTTTGTTTCTTCTTTCTTGTGCTCCCTCCCGCTGGTTCTAATTCTTCTTTACATCAAGACTAATGTGAAAATAAGCTTAATATGAATATATAAGTAGAGCCTATATCAGACCGTATGCCATCTTGGGGAGGGGAGAGGAGAGGGAGGGGGAGAACATTTAAAACTCAACATCTTATGGAAGTGAATGTTGAAAACTAAAACTAAATGAATAAATAAATAAATGAACTATGTTTATTCTCCCTCTTGTTCCCAACCTTGAAAACCGTTAACCTTGTGTTAGTGCTGGGGGATCCTGCTGGATGGGGAGGAGCAGAAGCTCAAAATTGGTGCCCACCTAGGGAATGACTGAACACCACTCTGAGTATCACTAGTGAAGCACAGTGGTTAGAGCACTGGACCTAGATTCAGGAAAGACTTGAGCTCAGATCTAACCTAAGCCACTGACTAGCTGTGTGACCTTGGGCAAGTCACTGAACTGCCTGCCTCAATTTCCCCATCAGTAAATGGGGATAACAATAGCACTTGCCTCTCTACATTGTTGTGAGGATATGGGCAAGTCACTTAACCTGTTTACCTCAGTTCCCTCATCTGTCAAATGGGGGTAATAATAGCACCTGTCTCCTAGGGTGGTTGTGAGGATCAATTGGCATAATAATAATATAGCACTTAGCACAGTGCCTGGCACATAGTAAGAGCTATGCAAGTGTTAGATATTCATTATTATTAATTATTATGAAATAATCTTTGCAAAGTGCTTTGGAAACCATATAAATGTTCATCATCATTATTATTATTATTATTTTATCAGTCAGGGGGGTGAGCAAGCCACCCCATGACTGACGGTTGTGGAGAAAGAAAATGGACTTTATGAGTCCAGGTCTCTCCACCCACGAGCCTTGAGGATAGCAGTGCCCCCAGACCATTGCGACTGCTTCCATCCTGGGCTCCATTGCCAGCATTGGAAGGGAACAATCCCTGCAGACAAGGGACTCACCCTCCTTACCACCACCAACCCGCCATTCCAGCCCAGGAAGGAAGTAGCCCCTTTGGTGATGTGATCTGGCGACAGCCTCAGTGGCGCTACAGCCCTTGCCTCCTTAGCAACCACAGTTAGAGAAAGTTCTCACCACCAATGTCCTTGGCGTCGTGGAAATGGTTTTCCCATGTAGATACGGGGTTTTATCAGTGGAAAGGCCATGAAAGAAGATGTCTTAACATCTGCTTTGGGGCTGCCCTGTAAGGACTGACCAGGGGGCCTTGTCATCTGATTTATAATGGAAATATCCTACATGTGATGTCTCCCCCATTGCTGTAGGCTTCTTTGGAGTAGGGACAGCCTCAGATTATCTATGTGTATCACTAGCACTTAGCACAGTTCTTTGCATATAGTAAGTGCTTAAAAAATGCATTTTCATTTATTCATACATTCATTCCACAGGAGCTGAGCTGCTGTTTTCTTTCCCCCAAGAGACCAGTATGTTACTTATCTTCTTGCCCTTTTCCCTCCCAAAAAGCTCACCCAAACCTCTTTTTGCTCCTTTCTCAATTTTCTCAGGCCTTTTTTCTACCCTAGGCTTTAGCCTTTCCTGCTCTGTTTTCACTGGCCTTCTACTGGTCTTCATCTTTGGCTATGTCCCTTTTCTCCCATCTTTTGTGCGTATTCTGCTTGACACCGAGCTCAGTTGAGAAGTCCCTTGGCAGCTACATTTGGTCTCTTTAGATACCTACCCCTACTCTTTGTCACCAGGATCATATCATTAAACTTCAACTCTGGAGAGAGTGTCTAATCCCTTCTTGAAGGGGGATTAATCAGTTAAACCATAACTCTAAGGGTCAGGTGATGGGGAAGAAATCTGTTGATGAACAGCTGATGATGGCCAGGGATGCTTTGGAAGAGATGATGAATGTCTGGATACTGAATCAGGCCAACCAGGGCATAGAAGACTACACATGTGACTTCAAATGCAGCTAGTCACCCGTTCCCTAGCCCCCAAAAGATCGTCTCACATTGTCGTAAATATTAATAGTGCATCTGAACTGTGTGTGCACAGGATGGACCCAGGAAGGGTGGGAGGAAAGCTTTAGAAGAAGAGGCAGCAGGAAACATGGAGATTCAGGAGAGTGGCCTATGATGGAAGAAATTTGCCCCTTCATGTTCTGGGGTGGGGGTGGTAAAAATCAGTCTCAAGATTTCATGATGCCTTGAATCAGGAGACCTAGGTTCTAATCTCAGCAATGCCACTAATTCACTCAATGAACTTTGGGCAAGAACTTTTTCTGGGTCTTAATTTGTTCATGTGTGAAATGAAGCAACAGGACTAGGTGATCTCCATGGTCCATTCCAGCTCTGCTTTTTTTCATTTGTTTCCTATTCTAAGAGCTGGCCCAGCTCTGACATTTGGGGTTTCTACAATCAAACAAAAATAAGACAGTCTGGTGTTACTCTTACATCACAATCAATGCTAGAAGACAAAGGCACCTGCTCAGCATTGGAAGAACAGAGAATCAAACGAACCATCAATGAACATGAATTTATTGAGTCCCTGCTATATGGAAGATACAGTACTGTGCTAATCTCTCTCTGGGTAGCATGAGTGAGCACTCATGTACCACACCCTCTCCCCAACATCACCTTTGGCTGCCTCTGCTTGAGCTGAATGGCTACCATCTTCCTATCAATTTCTAAAATCATTCTTTCTGATTCTTCCCTCCCCTTCACAATGAGGCCTATTGGACCCAAATACCCTAAACCCTGAACCCTGGTATCCTATCCTTTCCCAAGGAGCTACTCCTCTCCCTCTGGCCTCACCTCCTGCCTCAGATATCTTCAGATGGCTCCTTGACCTGCCCACTCAGCCTTAGAAATCAATCCTCCAACCTCAGCCACTCAACCTCCTGAGCCTCAGCTATGTTAGAGGTTATGAGGCTAAGGAGGGGAGTGAAATCCTCAGGGAAGCATCAAGAATTGAGGACTTCCTAGAAGGAAGTGAAGGAAAGCTTCCAGGAATAGTAGGGGGCTGATAGTGAGAGGGGGTGAAGCAGGGAGGAGGAATTCAGAGAAGGGAAGGAGAGGAGTTCAGAGACCCATCATGAGACAAATGGGCAACAGCAGGCACAGGGGTGTGATCCAGGAGGAGGCCATGAGGGTGGAGACTGCATAGCTCAACTCTGCAATCTCCTTATTGATCCACAGGGCATACTCGCTGACCCGAGAATAGACACCTGGAGTATCCTTCTCAGCACATCCCAAGGTCCAGCTCACTATCCCTGCTTGGAACCAAGTTCCGTCAACTTTACAGACGAGTGGGCTCCCATCATCTCCCTGTGGAGAGAGAGAAAGAGAGAGAGAGAGAGAGAGAGAGAGAGAGAGAGAGAGAGAGAGAGAGGAAGGGCAATTATTAGTGAGGCTGGGAAAGGGGATGAGCTGAGGCCTGCATGGCCTTGTAGAGTGAAGCTCACACTACAGATGGATATCTAGGCAGTATATGAGCTTGGGGGGTGGGAATACAGTGACTGTATATGGTTGTGCTGCATGTGACTACAGCTCTGTGATGATACAGTACTGTCTGCCTCAGACACATTGTAAGAAATCCAATGGGCTTGGGAAAAGTCAGAAAATCTGGCTAAAGAACACATTCTTTAGGGGCCTCCAGGAACAGAGAGAAGAGGTGGCCGGTGCCTGACTCCTTGCTGAAGATTCTGGAGGGAGCTGTCATGGTATCATGTAGCAAAGAACATGGCATTGCTGCAGAGAACAAGATTCCAAATCTAGGCCCCATACTTCCACTCCACTTATGGCCTCTGGATTCTGCTGTGGGCTTCTGCAAGACACTAGCCCCAGTTGTGGGGGAAGACAGGAGAGAACAATCCCTGCTCTCCATCCCCGGAGATGCACTCGATCAAAGGTGCAAGGGGAAAAAAAGCAAAGCGCAAACTCAAGGCCGAGCTTCTTCCTCTAGAACTAATTCTCTTCACTGTCTCAGATTGGGACCAACTCTCTTTTTTCTACACCACAAAGGGAAGAGTCATTGATTGCAGTCCTGGGTCTCAGTCTCAGGCAGGGAAGAGCACTAACACTATTGAAACTGGTACCCTAGTCACAGTTCCAGGGTGGAAAACAGTGCTTGTGGCCACTCACAGACCAGAGCACAAACACAGCTCTCCCTAGATCATACCACCTTGGAAGAACCAAAAAACTTACAGATTCCCAGAAATATCTCTGAAAACTGCACAAAAAACCTGAAGCTTGGGATAGTGCCCCCTCCATTTTGGAAGCAGAGCCCCACTTTAGCATAGAGTTAAAAGTCAAGAAACAGGCTGGAAAAATGAGCAAACAACAGAAAAAGATCCTGATTATAGAATGTTGCTATGGTGACAGAGAAAATCAAAACACAAACTCAGAAGAAGACAATGAAATCAAAACTGCTACATCCCAAGCCTCCGAGGAAAATATGAATTGGCCTCAGACCACAGACGAGTTTAAAAAGGATTTTAAACACCAAGTGAGACAAATAGAGGAAAAATTGGGAAGAGAAACAAGAGTGATGCAAGAAAATCATGAAAAAAGAGTTGACAGCTTGGTAACGGTGGCACCAAAAATATGGAAGGAAATAACACTTTAAAAAACAGAATAGGCCAAATGGTAAAAGAGGCATAAGAATCCAAGGAAGAGAAGCATGCTTTGCAAAGCAGAATTGGCCAAAGAGGGAAAGATACACAAAAATTCACTGAAGAGAAGACAAATGAGAATAAATGAGACTGAAGAGAATGACAAATGTTGGAGGGCATGTGGAAAAATTAAGAAACTAATGCACTGTTGGTGAAGTTGTATATTGATTCAAACATTCTGGCGAGCATTTTGGAACTATGCCCAAAGGTTTATGAAACTATGCATATCCTTTGACCAAGCAACACCATTACTAGGTCTGTATCTCAAAGAGATAAAAAACAAAAAGGAAAAGGACCTATACAGACAAAAATATTTATAGTAGATCTTTCAGTGGTGACAAAGAATTGGAAATTGAAGGGATGCCCATCAACTGGAGAATGGCTGAACAAGTTGTTGTATATGACTGTGATAAAATACTATTGTGCTATAAGACATGATGAGCAGGATGCTCTCAGAAAAACCTGTAAAGACTTGCAGAACACTGTATATAGGAACAGCAATACTGTATGATGGTGAACTATGAATAACTTTGCTATTCTGAGCAATACATTGATCCAAGACAACTCTGGAGGACTTATGATGAAAAATGCTATTGATCTCCAGAGAAAGAACTGATAGAGTCTGAATGCAAATACTTTTTCTTTACTTTCTTTATTTTTCCTGGGGGTTTTTGTGTTTTCTTTCACAGCATGATTTACATGTAAATATGTTTTATGTGACTGCACATGTATAACCTATGTGAAATTGCTTGCCTTCTCAATGAGGGGAGAAGAAGGGGAAGAGAGAACTGGGAACTCAAAATGTTAAAAAAAAGAATATTAAAATTGTTTTTACATATAATTAGGGAAAAATAAAATAAAATATTAAATTAAAAAAAAGAAAACTGCTTGAAAGCAGTCTGATATATCTACTGTTTTTACCCCCAGGGCCTAGGTCTTGTAATATAATAGGCATTTAATAAAGGTTTGGGGAATGAATGAACTGAGTAATTAGCAAAGTTGCAAGAGATGCAGATTTTAGCACATACAATCTGAGGAAAATCTTCTAACAACTAAAGCTGTCCAAAAGGAAAAGGAGCTAGCTGCCTTGGGAGACAGTGAGTTTGTGTTTCCTACTATATTGGAGGTCTTCAAGGGAAGAGGCTGGTAAACTAATTTTCAGGGATTTTATAAGGGGAATCCTGCTCAGTTACAGCTCGGATTAAACAACAATAACAACAACAATAATAATGTAAGAGAAGTGTAATAATAGCACCTACTTCCCTGGGTTCTGATGAAGATCAAATGAGAGAATATTTGTAAAGCACTTAGTGCCTGGCATATACTAGGCATTATATAAACGCTAGCTATCATTATTATTATTATCAATGTAAGTTGTAACAATGTAATGATAATTATCATTATCACTAACAATAACAGCTAGCATTTATATTGTACAATGCTGACTATTAATAATAACAATAGTACCATTTACATAAAGCCCTAAGCTTTGCCAAGTGCTTCAGCAATGTAATCTCATTTTATCCTGACTCTAATCCTGGGAGGGAGGTGCTATTATTATACTCATTTTACAGATGAGGAAACTGAGGCAGACAGGGGATAAAGTGACTTACCCAGGGTCACAGAGCAAGTAAGTACCTGAGGCTGTATTTGTACTCAGGGCTTCCTGACTCCAGGTTCCGGAGCACTATGTGCTATGATACCACCTACCTGCCTCACAGACAGTCTCTGAAATTCTAGAATTCTGCTCCACAATCTGTCTCTAGACACCTAGGTTGTGTGATGTTTCTAAATCTACACTAAGCTCCTATGACTCCTCCCAAAGTCATTCCCTTCTCTGACAATGACTAAGTGCCCTGAGATATGAAAGATGGAGGTGGGGCTGGGGAGTGGGCACCAAGGTAGGGGAAAGTTTCTCTCCATTCCTCAATCAATCAATCAATATGTACTAAGCATCTACTAGGTACCAGGTACTGCACTAAGCACTGGGTCTTACACAGAGAACTCACAAGGCAGAAGCCTCTTCCTCGGGAATAATCACTGCACAACATGCTAGGGGTGATGATGCGGACAATGCTGGGCACTTCTGAAATTTCATGGTAGCGGGAGTCACATTCATCGTTGCTCATGACCTGGATCTCAGCTTCACGAAGACCATTAACTATTGGTGTTTTGCGGCTTTGAGCTGGGAAAGACCTCAGTGGTTAAAGCCTTCTTTGTTTCATGATCCCCCTGCCATGCCCCCACTACTTCCACCCCCCTCAACCAGACCATCCCAAAGCCCACGGGGTAGCTCCCAGGGATGACACCACTAGCCCACCCAGTGTTCAGAGCATGGACAGGCTAACAAACTCCTTCAGTCACTGTAGTCACAGGTTCAGGAAGGTTCAGGAAAGGGAGAGCAGAGGAAGAGCCTAAACCTCTCTCCTGCTCTGCCACCACCAGACAGTTCTTTCTAACTCCTTAGTACTCATCTTCGCCCCTAGCTTCCACTGAACTCTGGAAAGAAAGGGCAAGGATGTCCACTATGAAGCGGGAGCACGGGTGTATCCTGAATCCAGAGGCATAGGGTATCAGTGTTGAACGGACTTCAGAGAGAGTGTTTTGGCCAACCTCAACCTGAGTGAGAGTACTCTCAACAGCATCTCTGACAAGTGACGAGCAGGCCCTGCTTCTAGTCTTCCAATGACGACAATGACCTCCCAAGGCAGCCCATTCGACTTTGGGGATTTTTCTCACTGTGAGGAAGTTTTCCTCATATGGGCCAAAATTTGTCTCTTCACCATTTCTATCCCTTCCTCTCCACTCTACCCTCTAAGGTTAAGCAGAACACATCTAATCCCCCAACCCCATGGTGGATCTTTCAATGCTTGAAAACAGCCATCCGATAAGTCTCTTGTTAGGCCAAGAATGCCATATTCTATCAGGTGATCCTTGGGTGACATAATTCTCAAACTAATAAAAGCAGGCCTTTGAGGGGTAACCCATGAATTGGAGGGAATGATTCTAACAGTGAAAGGATAGGAATTGTTCTATGTATCTGCTGGCATTCCATACCTATTGCCTAATGGGAATGAGGTAATAAGATACTTAGCTAGCCAAGGGACTGTATAGCAGTCTAAGTAATTCCTTACAAGTTTGCCAGGCTTTTCAATTGGCTCACAATGAGTCTGAGATTGTAGAATGCACCAATGAACTCAGTCCAGCAACATAAGAAAAATTTTCAATGGGAGCCAAAAGGGGAAAAAGAACGCAGAAGCCTCACTCCGAGCCAGTCCAGGGCAATCTAGACCTTTGAAAAGTTCATTACATTTAGGATATCTAGTCTGGAACCAGGCAGATTTCTCTCTATGATTGTATGTGAACACTAGTTTTGGAGTCAGAGGACCTGGGTTTGAACCTCAGCTCTGCAACCTATTATGTGTGATCCTGGGCAAGTCATTTCTTTCTTTCTTTTTTCTTTTTTGTGTGTGAGGCAATTGGGGTTAAGTGACTTGCCCAGGTAGAAGTCATTTCTTTGTCTAGTCCTGTCTCTTCCTCTGTAAAGTGAAGGGATTGGACTTGATAGGTGACCTCTAAACCTACTTCAGGCTCTAAGTCCTACAATTGGAACCCCATGGAATAAGGCACGCTTAGCCTGGGAGGAGACTGATAGGGGTAGATGTCTTTCAAGCACTGAAAGACCCCCCATGGAGATGGGGGATTACACATGGTACAGAGCCCAGAACAGGATCTCACAATATAATAGTCATTTAATAAATGTCTAGGGAAAGAAAACTGAGAGATTAGCAAAGTTGCAAGAGATGCAGAGTTTAGTGCATACGATCTGAGCGACATCTTCTAACAACCAAAGCTGTCCAGAAGGAAAAGGAGCTAGCTGCCTTGGGAAACAGTGAGTTTGTGTTGCCTATTATATCGGAGGCCTTCAAGGGAAAAGGCTTATTAATTAATCTTAATAATTAATCTTTAGCTATTCTTTAAGGGGATTGCTGCTCAGTTACACCTTGGATTAGATAACAACAATGTAAAATAAGATTAAAATTAGGACCTACCCCCCCCCAGAGTTGTTATGACGATCATTTGTAAAGCACTTAGCACACTGCCTGGTATAGTCCATAGCAGGCACTATAGAAAGCACCTTATAAGATCACTGAGCGCAACCCCTTTTTACAGTTAAGCAAATTGAGGCCCAAATCAAAGTCACATATCAGGACTGAAATGCAAATCCTCTCCCCTCACATCTAATGGCTCCCTGCTCCTGCTCCCTTTGGCTCTGCCTTATCCTTCTCCATTCAACCCTAAAGCACTGTATTACTTTTTGTGATCTGAAGAGTGCCAAAAATGAAAAACCCTACAAAAAAAGACAACACTCTCCATTTAAAAAAGAAAAAGTCGATGCCTGAAATCCCATCATTACAGAACTATTTCTTTTGTTAAATCATGTGCTATTCATCCTCCTCTGTTCAAACACAAGTGTTCCTGAGGGGAAGCTCTATTGGGCCCTTGTGATTTAGTGTAAGCTTTCCTGGGGATGAGGGAGAGGGATTGCTAAATGGGGAGGGGGGCACTGGGGACTGGGTTCAAATCATGACACATATAATTTTGGTTCCACGAAACATGTTGAAGAAGAGTCTCAGGAACCAGCAGTGACCTGGGCACAGCAGAGGGCCATGGACAGCAGACAAAGTGGAACACAGATGCCACAAATCACCTTGTCAGCAGACTGAGCTACTGCAAACTGAAACAGGGAAGGAATTGTGGCTGCTGTGATTTATTCAGAAAGGGTAAATACCCTTCCTGGGCAAATTAAATAAGACCAGTCAGGAAGTAGGTTAGACTAATTGATAACAAATAAAATTAAACTAGTCAAGAAGTAGGCAGATGGACACGTATGTGGCAAGCAGGACTTAAAAGCTGGAGTGGGTACAGTGAGGGCTATGATGTGCAAGAGCTAGGGAGAAAGAACCCAAGACCACTGAAGAATACCAGAGGAGAGAACAAGGCTGGCTCCTTAGTCCCATGGGACTATTTCCTCACCTTTTCCTTCTGATGAGGATATGTTTGTCTGGCCCCAGCCTGTTAGCCAGCAGAAGGACCCAACTTTCAGATCAAATATGGGGGAGGGAAGGCAGACAGGAGAAATGCTATTGTTGTATTTCAGCTCCTGGGACAGCTTGAGGAGGGCTACGTCGTCCTCTCGGCCAATCCACGACCAGTATCTGACTTCCTGGTAGCTGGGATGGATAACCACTCGCTTGACTGGGACCCGGACAATCGATGCAGACTTCTCTTGGAGAAATATGCTCCCCATCAAAACAGTAAAACTAGCATTGCTGTTGGAGAGAGGGAAGACATTAACAATGTCATCGTTACATTGAAATGGAAGGAGCATTGGACTTCGGGGGTGGGGCTGGGGAATCAGAAAACATGGCTTTGAGTCCTGGCTACACCATTTGCTAGCTGTGGATGCTGAGTAAGCTGCTGAACCTCTTGGACCACAGTTTACTCATCTGCAAAATAAGACAGGTTGGACCAGACCAGGGCTGGGGAACCTGCAGTCTCCAGGCCACATGTGGCCCTCTAGTCCTCAAGGGCAGCCCATTCCTGGATTAGACAATTCACTCTGTAAGATCTGTGACGTGGATGAAGGCAACAACCCCGTGGCTTTTGAGAATGCTGAATGGTGATGTGATTTCAGAGTCCCAGAATCTTAAGGAGGCCCTTTAAGTACTAGGAATTCCCTCTGCAGCTACCCTGGTATGTGGCCATCCAAACCATGTTTGAACCCCACCAGTAACAGGGAGATCACTCTGAATCCAGAGAGTGCCAGTATTGTAGAGTGTTGATTATTAGAAAGTTCTTCCTCTTACTGCATCAAAATCTGTTTCCTTTTCTTTTCCAACCACCATACTTGTCTATGACTGCTGGCGTCATGCAGAACTGAGATTCAGAATTTGTTGAAAATGCTCATCTTCAAAGAGTCAGTGAATCATGCCAATCCAAGGGGAGGTCTCTTGTGAGAAGGCACAGGAATCCGCCTGTGGCCTTATGCTGTTCACCGTGTATGACGATGACTTGGGTGAAAGCACAGATGTCAGCTTTATCAGACTTGCACGAGGCACAGAATCGGAGAATCTCAGAGTTGGAAGGGCGCTCAGAGGCCACACGCTCAACCTGGGGGCAGCTAGGTGGCACAGTGAATTCAGCACTGGCCCCGGAGTCAGGAGGACCTGAGTTCAAATCCAGCTTCAGACACTTACTAGCCATGTGACTCTGGGCAAGTCACTTAACGCCAATTGCCTCCAAAAAAAAATTCAAACTGGACCTGAACAGAAGCCATCTCTATAACCTAACCCAGTTAACAATCACTTAATCTCTGTTCAAAGACTGCAGAGGGAGAGAGAAACCACTGCTTTGTGAGAAAACCCCCTCTGCTATGGGATAGCACTAGTCGTTAGAAAGTTTATGTTTGCATCAAGCCCAAATGTGCCTCTTTGCAACATCCATTCACTGCCCCTAGTTCTGGCTCCTAGAATAAAGTAAAACAAATCTAATCTCATTTTCATTACAGTCCTTCAAATATTTGGAGATGGCCATGGTGTGTCCCCTCCTCCACCATGCCCCCCAAGCTTTCACTAAGATAAACATTCCCATTTTATGTAGCTGATCCTCATATGAAATAATCTCAGGACTTTGCCCACCCCGGTCCTTTTCTGGATGCTGTCCACGCTTGTCAATGACCTCCCTAAAATGTGGCCCCCAGAACTAACCATAATAATCCAGATGTGGTCTGAGCAGGGCAGGGGGCAGCAGAGCAATCCCCTCTCTAGTCCTGTACACTATGCTTCTCAGAGCAAGTTTAAGATCGTGTTAGCCTTTGGGCTTGTCCTATCGTTGTTGTTTTATATTCAACTTGCAAATACCTTTTTTTTTTAATTGAGGAAGAAACCGAGGCCCAGGGAAGCTAAATGTCATTTAAATCCAGGTTATCTGATTTCAAATCTAACATTTTCCCCTTTGTATTTCTCTTGAAGCATTTTGTTCACTTCCAGATGCTATATTGTAGGAAGAAAATGGACAAGAGGAGATTTAACAGGATGGTCTAGGGACTAAAGGTCATGCCATAAGATGATCTGTTCAGTGAATTAGACACGTTTAGCCAGGAGAAGAGAAGACACAGAGAGGGCTATAACTATGGTCTTCAAAAAGTTTCAAGAATTCATTTCAAATAGCTTCAAGGATTTACCTTGATCACAGCTTGGCTGTGAATGAGTGGGGCATACAGGGAAAGGAGGGCATACAGGGAAAGGAGGGCATACAGGGAAGAGCAAAGAGCTGCTGAGGAGATTTTGGCTTAGTCGATCTCATGTCTTTGCATTGGCCTGTCTCCCAGGCGTAGAATGCTCTCTCTCCTCATCTCTGTTTCCTGGCTTCCCTGGTTTCCTCTAGGACTCAGCAGGAGGCCTTTCTGGACCCCACTACTACCCCTTCAGCTGCTAATGCCCTCCACTCTCCAATTACTCCTCATCTACTGTGAATAGGTCTTGTATGTACCTAGTTATTAACATATGGTTTCCCCCATTAGGATGGCAGCTCCTTGGGGGCAGGGGCCGAGTTGTGTGTTTTATTTATTCATCTGCTCACTTATTCATTCATTCTTTAATTTATCTATTGACTCATTCATCTACTCATCTATTCATTTCTTTATGAATTTTTTCTTCCCCTTTCTTTGTTTCCCTGGTGCTTACTGAGCACGGGGCCTGGCACATAGAAAAACACCTAATAAAGGCTTCTTGACTAGTTGGCTGACTGAGTTTAAGCAACAGTCTTAACACTATTCTAAAAATTAGAGTTGTCAAAAGGTAGACAGACTGACTTGAGAGCTAGGGTTGTTTTTGTATTCCTCATTTGAGCAGGTGCGAGATGACCACTTGTTGGAGATGTTGTAGGGATTTTAAAGTCTTTTCTACTGAGATTCTGTGATTCTATATTGTTTGATGATCAAGAACCATGCAACCTCCCACTCTTTCTGTAACCCTACTTCTACCTACCCCTGCCAGAATTGCGACACAGTGTCCACTCTTACCTTTCCAGGCTCTTTCCTGAGTTTCAGGTCACACTCCTTGCACCCAACCTACCCCACCTAACCCAACTATCCTGCTAGACAGGGAAATAGCCTTGGACTTGGAATCACAGGAAAGTTTACAAAGTATTTTCCCAACAACACTGTAAGATGGGTAGGCCAAATTATATAAATCCAGACGTAATCAGTGACTGATTAGCTCACTAAGGGCCTTGGAGATGGTTCAACTCACATATTCACACAATGAGCAGCCGTCAGCACCCACCAGCGGGCAATTATCGTCCCACCGCACAGGTGCTTTCTGTCTTTTTGAATGCTGACGTGCCATGGCCATTTCGAGGGCACCGATTCTTCTCCACCTAACACTCTGTCGACTATTGCTGAATGACCACAGCCTAGAGAGGGAGGAAAAGTGACAGAACAAGGGTGAAGAGAGGGAGAGAGAGAGAGAGACAGAGAGAGAGAGAGAGTCAGAGATGGCAGAAGAGACAGCAACAGAGAGATGAAGAAGAGTTGAGACAGAAAGATGAGAGAGAATTGAGAGAGAGGGAGAGAGAGGAAGGGACAGAGAGAGGGAGGGAGGGGAGAGAGAGATGAGAAGGGGAAGAGGTGAAAGAGACAGAGAGACAGAGAGACAGACAGACATGTGAGGGGACCCAGAATCCTGGGTCATCAGTCCTCTACTGAAGTCACAACCCTTAAGTCCTATTTAATAGTTACCACTTCAAGAAACACCCATCTTATCATAAGGCTGTTAAAAGAAAAAAAAAGTCCTGGATTTGAGATCAAGTGACTTAGGTTTGAATTCTGGTTCTGATACTTACTGTATGACGGAGCAAATCTTCTAACTTCTCTGAGCCCCAATTTCCCCATCTGCAAAATCATAATAACGATTCCAGCACTACCTACGTCATAGACTTCCTACGTCCATAGGGAGTAGATGGGAGACATTACTAAGGTTATAGCTCTTGGTAGTGACAACTAAGGGATCACCACTCCATGGTGGATCTCAGGAAGTTCCCCTTTGATTGTCCATCCTAACAAACAGGGATAGTGAGGTGACGGGAACCCTGATACCACGCGTTTGGACTTTAGGCTAGTTGGTTTCTGTTTCCATTTCATGAGACCATTCAATTGAATTTTATTCACCAGACAACTAGGAGATGCAATGCACAGAGCATTCCAAATCCTGCTTCAGACACGTCCTAGCTGTGTGATTCTGGGCAACTCATGCAACTTCTCTTAGACTCAGTTTCCTCAGCTCAAAAATGGAGACAGCAACGTTACCTATCTCTCAGGATTGTTGTGGGGATCAGATGTGAAAACATGTAAAATGCTTCACAAACCTTGTAGCACTCTACAAATGTTGTTCAGTTGTTTCAGTCACATTGGACTCTTGTGACACCATGGACCTCTGTCCGTGGGGTTTTCTTAGCAAAGATAATGGAGTGGTTTGCCATTTCCTTCTCCAGTGGCAAACAGAAGCTAAGTGACCTGTCCAAGGTCACACAGCTAGAAAGTTTCTGAGGCTGGATTTTAACTCAGGCCTGCCTAACTCCAAGGCCAGCACTCTATCCACAGGGCCACCTAGCTGTTATTAATTCAACAAATACTTATTACATTTGAATAAAAGGATTGTGGAAAGAGACCTGGTTTGGAGTCATCTGACCTTAGCTTAAATCCCTGTTCTGCCACTTAATACCCATGTGACCTTGAGCAATCACTGAACCTCTCTGTTCCTCAGTTTCCTCACCTTTAAAATAAGGCAATTGAACTAGATAGACACTAAAGTCTCTTCTGGCTCTCTGCGAACCTAGGAGCCTATGAATATACAGTCATGTGGGGTGTTCCAGGAATGCCCCTGGAGCCAAACTAAGAAGTCACTCTATGAAGACTTAGAGTGCTTTACAAAGCACTGGCCTGACTTGTAGTCATCTCCTCTATACCATGTATTTTATGCTGGATGAAAGGTCCTACCACTGACTCCCACTATGTGACCATGGGCAAATGATTTTTTAACCCTTCTGGGTCCCTAGTTACTTATCTGCATGATGAAGGGGTTGGCCTAGGTGATCTCCAAGGATCCTTTCCTTTCCTATTTCAGGGTTATGGCTGAAGCACCTATGATCCTAAAGGCAGGACCTAGCTCCCTGAGGGTGTCTCCCCATTAGGACCAAGATACATTGGATGTAACTACTTTGTCCCATAAGCGACTGAGGGAGATCAGAGGTAGACTTAGCAGAGAAGGGAATGGCAGGAAAGGGGAAGGACCTACATGGAGATAGAAGGAAGAACAGTTTCCCCCAACACATAAGAAATTCCCGAAGGTCCAGAACTTTGTCTACTCCATTAGGGGATCCTTGAAGTCAATGGATGAACATTGTCCCCAGGAAGGCCACCATGTTCTCACTACTCATTTGCAAATTCTTCTTTATGGGTTCAGGCCTTGAAGAAAATGAGTATCTAACCATGGGTTTAAGGCCTGCCTGGATCATCTGATTTAAAATGAGCAGTCATTATCATTAAGAAGTCTTTTCTCCTGCTGAATGTACATATCTTGCCTACTGCTCCTTCATTATATTCCTGGGAGAGCTGGGATCTGAGCAGGGGTGGGACAGTTTTTGATTAAACTATTATGATCATAGGATCATACTAAGTCAGAGCTGGAAGGTCTCTTAGAACATAGCATGTCATAAGGGAAGCTTAGAACACAGAATGTCAGAACTGAGAGGGTACTTAGATCACAGAATGTCAGAGCTGGGAGGAAACTTAGAACACAGATTGTGAGATGTAGGAAGGGCCTTAGAACACAGAATGTTAGAGGTGGGAGGGTCCTTAGAATACAGGATGTCAGAGCTGAGAGGGTACTTAGAACACAGATTGTGAGATGTAGGAAGGGCCTTAGAACACAGAATGCCCAGGGAGGGGAGGGGCGGGGGATCTCCCCAAGCAAAGAGGAACCCTGGGGGGGTTGGGTCGGGGCTGCGTGGGCCCCTCTGGGCAGTCAAGGCTGCGGGGGGGGGGGGGGGGGGGGGGGGG